ACACATGTTACACATGCTACACACACGTCACACATGCTACACACACGTCACACGTCACACATGTTACACATGCTACACACATCACACATGTTACACATGCTAAACACATGTCACACACGTCACAAATGTTACACATGCTACACACATGTCACACATGTTACACATGCTACACACACGTCACACATGTTACACATGTTACACATGCTTCACAAATGTTACACATGCTACACACATGTCACACATGTTACACATGCTACACACACGTCACACATGCTACACACATGTCACACATGTTACACATGCTACACACATGTCACACACGTCACAAATGTTACACATGCTACACACATGTCACACATGTTACACATGCTACACACACGTTACACATGTCACACGTTACACATGCTACACACACGTCACACATGTTACACATGCTACACACACGCCACACACACGTTACACATGTTACACACGCATTACACATGTTACACATGTTACACACACGTTGCACATATTACACACACTACACACATGTTACACACACATTACTCGTTACACACACGTTACACATGTTACACATGCTACACACACACACGTTACACATGTTACACACACGTTACACATGTTACACACACGTTACACATGTTACACACATGTTACGCACATTACTTGTTACACACGTTACACATGTTACACATGTTACACACATGCTACACACACGTTACACATGTTACACACACGTTACACACGTTACACACATGTTACACACATTACTCGTTACTCACACGGTACACATGTCACACACATGTTACACACGTTACACATGTTACACATGTTACACATGCTACACACATGTCCTCTGGGCCCACAGGGGAACAACTACCGCAGGGAGTACGTGGCCACTCAGGGCCCGCTGCCCGGCACCAAGGATGATTTCTGGAGGATGGTGTGGGAGCACGGTGTGCACAACATMGTCATGGTGACGCAGTGCGTGGAGAAGGGACGGGTGAGTCCAGCTAAACCCGTTTGCTTTAACTCTAATCCGTGAAATGAAGCAGAACCGGTACTGTCAGGTTCTGACGGGTCAAACGGACCCTGAACCATCTGTCCCTCTGGGTTTCCAGGTGAAGTGTGACCAGTACTGGCCCRCAGACAAAGACCCCCTGTACTACGGAGACCTGGTGATCCAGATGTTGTCGGAGTCCGTCCTGCCMGAGTGGACCATCAGAGAGTTTCGGATCACCTCGGTACCRGATCTTTACCAGCACCGGTTGTAAAGCTTYAGTGTGATTGAAAGCTTAACGATGTGATCCTGACAGGAGAGCAGCAGCAGCTACCCTCGGGTTCTGCGACACTTCCACTACACCGTGTGGCCCGACCACGGCGTCCCCGACAGCACCCAGTCCCTCATCCAGTTCGTCCGGACGGTCCGGGACTATGTGGACCGGTCTCCCAGTACCGGAGCCACCGTGGTCCACTGCAGGTACGAGGCTCACAGYGTGGACTTCCTGTTGATTAACGCAGAGAGTTCTGGATCATTTACCGGGTCTGTTCTGGTCTCAGCGCTGGAGTCGGCCGCACCGGGACCTTCATTGCTTTGGACCGGGTTCTGCAGCAGCTGGACTCTAAAGGAACCGTCGACCTCTACGGCTGCGTGTTCGACCAGCGGCTGCACCGGCAGCACATGGTCCAGACCGAGGTATGCTGTGCCCCCCCACACTCACTCCATTTGGTTCTGAGTCAGAACCAGAACCTGATGGGATCTGACCTGTGTTCCAGTGTCAGTACGCCTTCCTGCACCAGTGTGTTCGAGACGTGCTGAGGGCCCGCAAACATCGCAGCGAGCAGGAGAACCCTCTGTACCCCATCTATGAAAACTTCAACCCTGAGTACTGCCGCGGTGAGCCCGCCCACTTCCTGTTACTCATACTTCTACTTCCTGTTACTCAGTTTCACTTCCTGTTACTCAGAAGTCCACCTCCTGTTACTCATA